ATGTGCTGGCGAGTTAATGGAGGCACAACACGCGGTCGTCGCGCATGCAAATGGGCTGCATGTAGCCGATTTTTAATCGTTTGGGGTGTAACTCGAATTCCTGTAACTTGGTACAAGTTTACAGAAAGCTGATTGGCCGTTTGTCCTCGATTTCGCAGGACCTGTGTACGAATTTATCGATCTTGGGCTTGTGTAGTGGCTCTAGGACGACCTGAACGAGGTCTATCATCAGCATTGTGTGTTTGTTGGTACCGGTTCCACAGTCTGCTGATCACAGACTGTGACACATTAATCATGTTGGCTACTGCTCGCTGTGTAGAACCCATTTGAAGCATGCCAATAGCACGTCATGTTGAAAACGTCTCATTACAAATTAAACGTAACACACTAAAGCAAAGATACGTTAAACAGTAAATCTTATGCAAGAATCGATAGGATAAACCAGCACGCGGCAGTTTTCATCAACCCTTCCTTGAAGTGTCAAATTTGACAATGAACCCCTCCCACGTGTATGTCGCTATTGCGTGTCGCATGTGCAGCTCAGTGGTTCTGTTGGGGCGATAAGTTATTCATCTATGAACATACTCTCAAAGCATGTCAAGTGTCCATGACTATTTATCAAAATTATGACAACCTGCATAGGTATTTGCATCTAAATATCCCCTACTTTTTTGAAGAGTATATAATCCATATACTGGATATCCGTCTAATCCTTCTATAAGCAAAAATATTGTCTTCAGAATGATGAACAATTCAATCTTTATTCATAAATAGAATATTACATTTTTAAATAAAAAATATACATTGTATAATAATAATACTTATTCCAGAAAGTTTGACCTATTGGTTACTGGGTTATGGTCATTTGAATAATGGCGGTCACGCCCATTTTGACCGATATCTCAGGAGCCGTTAGTCGGACCGAGCTAGAAGTTGGGATATCTGCTCTTTTATCCCCAATAAGCATATAAACCAAATTTCAGCAAATTCGAAGGAGGTATGGTTTAACTCATTGGGTGATAATTGACATGGAATGACGCAAACACAGATTTTGAAAAAAATATCGAAAAAATATGGAGATGGCATGAGACAAGGATGGCTTTGACACATGTTGGAGACATTGGTACAAACTATATTTACACCAAGTTTCAGATATTTAGGTGCTCATCTACCGGGTTCTTTCTTCTCAGAAACACGAGGCAATTTTCGAAAATTTGTGTCTGAAACCATACGGGGCCAGTTTTCTGGGAGTCTATTGACAACTGGTGCGTTTTCATACGTTTTTTTATGTAGTACTACCTGCAATCTCTGGATAGGCCAAAAGTTTGGTCTATTGGTCTATACTATTACTTTGAAGCTCCTGGAGCACTACAAATTCCAGAAAAAAATACAATTACACCAATTTTATTTTCGGATTTCATGGCCAAGTAGCATGCGAACTCTACCACTCACCTGTAATCTACACCAAAAATTCTTTAAGACTACTAAATTTGAGCTGTATATCTTCACTAGAAAGGTAAAATAAGATATCTGAAACTCGAATGATCCCTGTTTGTTGCCCATGCGCGTCATCTAATACTCCTTCAGTCTCTATCTGGGTTAATGGAGCTTTATTAAACTAAATCTACCGTAAATTTCAAGTTATACTTTCTGTTCACATTTTGACTTTTAAAATTGATGAGCACTATATATACAGCACCGAGTTTTTTATATATTACTTTCAAGTGTAGTTATTCAGTCAATAACCAGGAGTGTTTCCAGAGAAAACTTCTTGATACCTAGGCCGTATACTTTTTTTTTTTAAAGTACAGTCCCTCAAAATTTCGCGGTTACAATCTCCCATTCCAATCATCTACTAATGTCAAGCATCGCCCAAGAATGGTCTAAATAAAGCCAAAATATAATATCAAAATTTCTCAGGTAAATACCTTTACCAATCATGGTTACAATCTCACACAAACTATGGCACATATAGTACAGAAATTAACGTCCTACTGTTCTGCTCCGACTGGGCTAATGAACACTGGCATACGCCATATAGTGTGCTATGAGGGAAATTTTGCCCTGAATTCCAACTATCAAGGGATCTTTTATGTGCACGCCAATGTGTACACGGGACCTCGGTTTTTTCGTATTATACGTTGTCCCTTGCCAGAAAGTGTATCCTGCACCATTGACAACGAGGAACCACGCCGGAACAACGCAGGGATCGAACACGGAACCGCCAGATTAGCAAGCCAACGTCTTGCTCACTGAGCCACCGTGGCTCCACATATAGTACATCCGCGTTGCTAAATTAGAATGCTTGTTTTTCTTATTTGGTAGTACAAATATAATACATTTTACTGTGTCGGCCATTTCATACAAGGCAATACATTTGTATCAGAAAAGTAGACGTATTTAGCAAAATCTACCTGGTGTATAACTTTCGAGCTTTAGATGAAGCCATTCGTGTGAAAGGCAAATTAACTTATTTGGAGATAAATGTTGACACAATTCCATTGTAATATAGTTCTAGATTTTTAAATAGCTTTCCATACACTCTGTCGTCATGGATTACCACAGGCAAAACACAGTGAATCAACAACATTGATTGAATTTTTACCCACCCTTCAGATTAAAGCAAGCAAATCAACCCTACCAGTGCCCCTTCTCGGTCCAATTCAGCCCATTCATTTTCCTATAATTAGGCAAATGAATTATTGAAATACGAAAATATGCTCTCAGTCGTACTCACACTCACACCCTCCATTTCCCCATTACGGCAAACAATCCAATCTTACCCCCCCCCCCCCAATTTCAGTCTAATTCATCCTATACATTTCGGCTAAAAACAAATTATTGAGAATATTGAGATAGGACAAAATGTATTCGGTCTTAATTCTCACCTTCTCAGTCTTACTCACTTGTACATCCTCCATTTCTCTATTACAGTAAACGTATTATTTAAATACGTATATAAGTTATCAGTCTTACTCGCCCCCTCCACATCTCTATTACAGCAAACTAGTTATTAACATTATGGAAATATGGTCTGTCTTGTGTTTTTAATTAGAAATTAATGTCTTTTATTCTACCCTTTGTTTGTCACATTGTGTGTGACTTGTCATATTAAGACTAATTTTCCGTCACTCAAGTCATCTATTGATTTGAATATATTACATGGAAAGCAGACATAAATAATTTATTCGAGATATAAAAGTGTCATCAACTAGGACAAGCATCATTGCTCGATTTGATTTTCCACGTCTTAATTACTTAGGCGACACAAATAAAATAAGTTGTTTCTCGGGCACCGCCCGCACGCAAAATTGGTTGCGCGTGCGGCCTATTTATTAGTCTTGATGAAAAATAAAAAATATGTAACGCCCGCCCGAACATCGATAAGCAAGTCATAAAAAGAATATGCCGCATGTATCTACATGCCCCATACGTGAATATCCATTCAAATGTATTAAACTGATTCAGATGTAAACGCTCATTTACGAGTCTTTTTTATTGATATCGAAAGAACCTCCATTTTTGTATCACGTGATTTTAATTACCTCCCCTTGTGAACTAGAATTTGATTCGTGTTAAACACCGAAAGTCATTGACAACAATGCATTGTATTTCAATCATTCGATCTTAATCGGCTCATTATTGCCGGCTTCAGTCGGTCCATGTTTGAAAAAATCCTACTTATAAAACAATGAATCGTAGAACAGGTTAATTATTATAACTTGTGGCTACGAATACGATACGATGATAGTCACCATACCTTAGTCAGAATCTGGGCACATTTAACGGTAGTTTTGATAATCCGGAAAATAATAATTGGATTACACATTTGATGGTTTTACTGACCAGTTGTTAGTTAAATTTAAATAGTCATTCGATATAAACCCCAGATAGAACACCGAATATCCTGAGAAACACACCGAATATCCTGAGAAACGGTCATTTCCCCGAATCCCGATGACACGTTACATGCATTGGTTGGAATTAGGTCAATCATTATAAACCAGCGATACTAGATTTAGATCTAAGTGTCGTTTACCGTGATGATTATTTTTGATACACATGCTGACAGAGGCGTACCCTTTAAAATATTGTCGTTATTATGGACGGCTATTAATAGTCGTACGGAATTTTATTTTAAACCAATTTCAATTATGGTTGTCACCATTACCATTAGTAAGCTACATTACGTGAATTAAATATGGAAAATTATTTTACTTACTGATCAGTGTTCAGTGTTTGAGTAGACTTGATTTTTGGGCTTATGTTCTAAGTATGTATAATATATAACTGAAAGCAAAACTGTAGACAAGTAATGACTTTCTCATTAAAAAAAAAAAAATACAAGGCCGCCCTCCCGCCCCAACAATTTTCAACAATAGCCAAATTTTATTTTGCACCATCCTCTAGCCAGAAATGAGGTAAAAAAAAAATAAACCGCCCCCCCCCCCCTACAGTTTCAGCTGTCAGTTGCCCGAGAAACAAGACATTTATTTTGTGTAGCCTTATGGGTAGTTTTTTGTCGTGTTACAGGTCACACAGAACATTTAGTCACATGATCCTGTCTGACCCAAACACATATCACATCAGACGTCCCTGGCTTTATGCACCGCAATTCATGAGCGAGAGAGAGAGAGAGAGAGAAAGGAGGGGGGACGGGTGGGACCACAAGATTTCAGTATTTTTCCACCACAATATTTCACTTTTGTGCTAAAAATACTTGAGTAATTGCAGAAAGTATAGATTTCCCGAGAACAAGTTCTTAGCGTTTCTTTCAAACGCACATTTAGGTTGAAAGGACAGGACCACAGGTTAACCATTGAAAAGAAAATTGGTACATTTTTAAACTAAGCAACACATGAACACATAAAAAGACTATAATAAAATCGACACTTTTATAGAGATAGGTAATAGGTGTTTTGTAGGTATTAATAGGTATTAGCAACCAAATTATTGAAATGAAAAAAAAAATATTAATTTCTTTTATCTTTTATTTGCAGGTAACACCAAAGATATATTGCGCAATAGGTTACGCCCTCGCTAATTCTCTCATGATCATTGGTAAAGATGGTATCGTCATCGTTGACGTCACAGAAAGTGTAACGGCAGGCCAGGAAGTAATGAAAGCCTTTAGAAAGATAACAACCAAGCCAGTGAAAGCTATTATATACACCCACAACCATGCTGATCACACATTTGGAGCAATGGTAGATATTTAATAAACACTTTCGTTATTATGTAAAGATCAAGATTGAAAAAAAAACGTAGGGTGTTTCAGAGCTGATCAAAGAGATTGTGATATTTTTTTTCTTTTACTGGCTCAAAGAAATAACTTCTACCTGCCAGATATCAATAAAATTGCTTTGCACACTATTCCGATTATATTCGATTTTTTTGTAGCAGTTGTTATTTTATGCTAGGTTTCTACTATTACGATTCGCGCTACGATTGAAATCGTGGAGTAATCGTGGTGATCCTATCAGGTCTTATAATATATTGAGGTCAGTTGTGGAAATCGTGTTGATCGTATTGAAATTTACCCGAACGTATCTTCATGTACCAGATCGTGGACTCAATAGGGACAATCTTATCGTAACGCATCGCACGACAGAGGGAAGCTAGCATTAGTAATGATTACTACTGAAGAAAGTGTTTTTATGGGGATATGAAAACAAAATCTCTCCAGGGTATGATGTAAAATAGATGTATAAATCAATAAATTATTCAAATTTTAGATTAAAAAAAACCGTCAATCGATAAAACGAGGCTTAAAAACAAACACTGAGACTTGTTCGTGACAAAAGAGAGATTAGGACCCACACCACTCGTTTCTTTATGTATTAAGTTATGCTCTTATCGTACTTGATTTAATGAGAACAAGACGTTGCATTTAATAACAACGGTAGACAGTCTAAATCTTTTCCCCAAGCGCAGATTACCAGAAATTAGGGCCAATATTTTTACAGCAGATGAAGACAGTGTCTGGTTTCTGAAATAGAAGAATATTCATTGATTTATACATATATTCAGTTGTGTTTGCCACATTAACCATTTCGTGGATCGAATAATATCATGTTATTACAGGAACGACTGCAATTTACTTTATAGTAATGCATTTTAATGGACCTACTAGCATATGAGTGTCTGCATTGTGCAATAACATATTTAAAGAGGCAACATTCCATTGACTGCTCCTTCACGATTAAAATGATTGATATAACATCTCTCAATACAATATTGAGATATTTTAATTTAATTTTAAAAATGAAACTCCTGCCATAAGTAGGTCTGATGGGTCTGCGATTATTCTGAAAATGAAATTGATTTAATTAGTTTTCTTGGTAAAGGTGATAATTCGCCTTTAATGTATTACAGTGCCATTATCGTCGGTTCGGAGACACTGTTGGTAACTAGCAAAAGTCCAATGAAGAAATCCAGTTAATAATATCTGTAATGAATAACCCCTCCTTTAAAAAGTTGGAGATAAGAGAATTTAATTTTCAGAATAGAACTTGATAAATACGTGTAATTTTGGTAACAGAATGTTCAATAAGTTCTACATATTACAATTTCTTTAATTTTTTTACAGGCCTTTATTGAGAACAAAAACAAAATGCCAGAAATATGGGCTCATAATGACATTCTGCGTCAATTTCAAAGAGTGTTCTACACAAATGGAGCATTTCTTCGAAGAGCTATGAGACAATTTGGCTCTCTTCTTTCACAAACTATTAATGCTGGCATTGGTTTTAATCTACGACTGGATACAGAAAACACCGACATTGGACTGGTATACCCAACAAAATTGTTTCATGGAAAAGAGCGAGATATTGAAGTTGCTGGTAGGTATATTATGAGATGGTAGATGTATAGTAATAATTTTAAAACATACACTGACTGGTGGCCTGTATATGAGAAAAACAATATTTTTTCGATAAAACTGTGAGATAATTTATTATTGTGGACACAACAAACACCAATAATACTCATTACCTTCTTAAACAAAGAGTTGTCGCGCAATAGCTTGCCAGGGAATGACAAAAGGTTATAACATTTTGCGATAAAAAAAGTGTAACCTATGTAGGGTTTGTAAGATTTCCGTGAAAGGGACAGGGTTTCTCCCAAAAACTGACGGAATAATTTCAATGTGTTTCTTATTATAAAAAATCTTAAAACTCCGAACTTGTAATATGTATACATAACTATGTATTGATTCTAATGGCCAGTCGAACAATCCCAGCAAGCTTTAACATAGCATTGGAAAGCAACGAATATATGAATACAACCAGCATTTTTAAGGGTGGTTTTCGGGTCAGGGGTGATAATTACCTCTAAAATTGAAGGGGGCCTTTAACAGGCATTCAGCAAGTTTGCCCAAAAATTCTCAATATTTTACGTTCAGCGCTTATGTGACTTGAAAACTAGCCACATGTCTCGATAAAAAAAAATATATACTTAATCGATAGAGGCAGGTTCAAAAGATATTCATTGAGATATACTTTGCCTGGACATCGGCACTATGACCTACTCTTACATCGAATTTCAAACTCTCTTGTCTATCTCAGTAGCTTTAGGATGTTTTGCTTTGTAATAATTCATTTGACGTGGACTAGGTTACTGAATTAATGAAAGAACTGAACAGACAAGCGAAAACATATACTTTTACCGTATTTGACCTTCTGTTCGTTATTCACAAGATGCCGAAGGGTAGGAGTAAGCATCCAATTAAACAAAATTGGAAATTGGAGTGGATATAAGGGAAAGTGCAATCACACAATATAACAAAAGAATTATTGCCTTTGGTAAACAACCGGAAATTGTATTGACTTAAAACATTCAGCAGCAAAACCACGCTAATCAAATTAACAGCTATAACAGAGAGTTGCGCGTTTGTAAGTTTTGTTAATAAGAAGTACAAATTTCCAATTTTTTTTTAAAAAAAAGTCATTCTGTGATGTTAACAATGTGTAATAAAAATAACATGGCAGTATCGAGCAAGCGGCACTAATGGAAATATATCGCAATATAATCGCAATATATGATATAAAAGGCAAAGTAAAAAGAAATTTGTTTTTAAGGGGTAAATATTGTGCTGCTAACTGCGTTTGTGATCTTAAATCTATTTACAAAATTAATTGCATTGAATATTACACTTTACTGTTTTGTTCCTAACGGTGTGGGTTTTCGGTCTTTATAATATAACATGAATAGCATAAATATTTATTATATCCAGAAAGAACGTCTGAAATTAAATGACAAAAATGGTATTAATATAAATAGTTTCATGTTTTGCATGAATGAATGAATGCATGAATGAGTCAAATGGGGTTTAACATTCTACTTAAACTGGGTCGATAGAGATTTTGCCCGGACAGTAATTGAATTCTGTCAAGGGATCTTTTACGTGCCCGCCAAAGTATACATGGAACCCCGGCAGCCCCCACCCCCGTCCTGCACCACTGACAACACTTGACTGTACAGGTTAAAATGAACTATGGTCTATATTAATAGATATTAAATTGATGTTAGTATTATGTTAGACTCAAGACTTAACAGTATAAATACCAAATCGGTTTTTGTGATATACTATATAACAAATCTGCTATCCATTACTGATTAATTATAAAAGCTTAGGATTGTATACACTAAACAGCAAAAAAAAAAAAACGTCAGTACGATTTCAAAATCAGAGAGGCACTTTAATCAAATCATTCTAGAAAACGACTTACTAAATGGATCAAAGCAATTTTTTGTGAACAGTATGTTGACTGTACATTAGTGATTAATTCATCACAATTCCAAGACATTACGAGAAGGTTTAGAGTCTGTACACAGTCTATACATCAGTATTTGGTGTGTCCACCACGAGTGTCAATAACGACAGCGCAGCTTCTGTACATGGAGTGGACCAGACGATTGATGAACGCCATTGGCACCAAGAAAAACCTGGTGCAATCCATCGGCTGTTTGGTCTCGGTACGACGTTATTGAGTCTCCTCTGAATTGCACTCCAAAGATGTTCAATCGGGTTTAAGCCCGGACTAAGGGCTGGCCAGTGCATAACGTTGACACCGTTATGTTGTAGAAAGTCCCGAGTGTCTCTGGTGTGTTGGCACGGGCATTGTCATGCTGGAAAACGTTGTTTCGATGACGTGCGAAATGTGGTACGACGTGGGGTCTGAGAGCTTGATCGATGTAGCGCACAGCTGTGATGCCGCCTCTTCTCCCTGGACCAATATTTTGGAACACCTCAGGATCCACTCTCTGGTTCAGGCCTACTCCACCCCAAACCATTATGTTTGGACGTCCCCATGAGTCTCATTCCATGACACATTGGTCAGAATAACGCTGCTGGCCACGTCGACGCTATATTCTGGTCCTGCCATCTGCAATACCGACTCTCATATGTGAACAGAACAGTTCTCCACTGCCTGTGTCGCCAGTTCTGGTGTTGTTGGGCAAACTGTAGACGTTCACGTCGATGGCGAGGGGTGAGGATCGGTCTTCGGTAAGGTCTATGGCAATGGATGTTCTCTCTGGTGAGACGTCGGCCCACTGTATCGGTACTGATGTGTCTTCCGTGTGTTCCCACTGTCTGACGTGCTGTCTCAGATGCCTGTGTGAAGGGATTCTGCACGTTCTGTCGCACAACATGGTGGTCTTGTCCTCTTGTGGTAACCCTTTGTCTACCAGTTCGGGGGCGATCATCCGTGGTGTTGGTGGCCCGAAAGCGTTACTGAAGTCTGTAGATGGTCCGAACATTGATCTGGAAGTGATTGGCAACGGCCTGGGCAGTGTGGCCAGCGTCGAGGCTTTCAAGCGCCTGGTTCCTCTGAGCTGTCGTGAGTCGTGGCATGCTGCTGACGTTGTAGTGTGAATGATTCAACTAGGTATGAGGGTGCATTTTATAGGGCTGGCCCCAGTGAACAGCACGTGCAGCATGAATGACATGAAAATCATGGAGAACACATTACCATCCCAGAATTAAGGTTGCGTTTTTGAGAACATTTCCTGGATTAAATTCTGTGTTTGGGAAGGAGCCTTATTGCTCAGGTAAAGTTGGAGATGTGGTCACAAATATACAATAAAAGCATTTGGCAAGTTTTATGCAATGCGTCTATTCAGAGTAACATACCAACCTGACGTTTCTTTTGCTGCTTAGTATACAATATTTATATTCCCTGTCACGTTATCATTTCAGGCTTGAAGCTGAAGTTAATCCACATCCCAGGAGAAACGGCTGATCAGATTGGTGTTTGGGTACCCGATGAAAAAGCTTTCTTGTGTGCTGACGATATCTACAAAGCTTTCCCAAATTTATATGCTATTCGAGGTACCCCAGCAAGAGATTTGTTAGACTGGACTTCTTCTATAGATACGATGATTGCACTTCATCCCGAACACTTGGTTCCTAGTCACACCAGACCAATAAAGGGTGATCGTTATATCAAAGACCTGCTCACAAGTTACAGAGATGCCATTCAGTATGTCCATGATCAGACCATTCGTTACACAAATAAAGGGTACCACCCTAACGAAATAGCCACCTTAGTCAAACTACCTAAATACTTAGCAAAGCTGCCATATCTACAGGAGTTTTATGGAACCGTTGAATGGTCGTCGAAGGGTGTCTTCAATACCTATATGGGGTGGTTTAGTGGCGACCCCGTAGAATTATCCCCCTTTACTCCTGATGAAACAGCTACCAGAATGGCAAAGTTAGTTGGAGGTGCGAATGTTCTCTCAGCTCAAGCCAAAGATGCTTCTGAAAAGGGAGACCACCAATGGGCACTTATGTTAAGTTCCTATGCTTTGAGAGTTAACCCCGATGATGTAATGGCGAAAGATGTCAAGGTTACTTCTTTAATGGCACTTGGAAAACGACAAATGAGTGCCAATGGTAGACATTATTTTTTCACCACGGCTATGGAAGAGTTAGGGGAAGTTAGTACTGAAGTGAGTGATGTTCAACGAAAGAAGTTTATTGAAAATGTTCCAATTTTAAATTTATTTAAGATGCTCCAGGTTCGATTCATGCCAGAATCTTGTAGTCATTTAAATATCACCATTCTCTTTGCTTTCAAAGATAGTAAACAGTTTGTTAGAGTACAAGTTCGTAATTCCATTGTTCTTGTATTTGATAAACCCTCGCAGATTTTTGATATTAAAGTTTCTACAACCGAAAAGATATGGAAAGAAATTCTTATAAGTAAATACGCCGCAGTGTCTTCATTAGCAAGTGGTGAATTCAGTGTAGAAGGGGGGCTATTAAAATTCCGAGAGTTTATTGGATGCTTTGAAACGAACTAACGTCCGTAGCTGCACATATCATTTCCTGTTGACTTCTGTGGCTTCATATACCATTTCCTATTGACTGTTTAAACTAAACGAAGAAAATGATTTGTAAATTTTGAAGGAGCTCAATTGAAAAAAAAAAAACATTGTCTTGTGCAAGTTGGAATAAATAAATGTACTCTATGACTGAGAATAACTAATCTGATGTGGGCGTGTGGATCTATAAATAAGTGTTCAAGGAGGTTTAATCAAGAACACACAAATAAACAATGGATAGTAATCACAATATTTCACAATAATCCTCTCAAGCCTTGATCTTTTACGACATCATAAATCAGACAGACACACTACCATAATCTATTTTATATTTCATATCAATACCACTGATTATACGGAAGAAATGTTTCATTGTAATCAAAACATATATTAGTTGTACTTTGAATGTAATTCTATAAGTAATCAGAGAAAACTATTTTTGTGGAGTACATTAATGGTATATTCGCATATCATAAACCTATATTCTATTTTAATTTGCTTACCAGCTTGTAAGTTGAAGCAGAACGAAAACAGGCATTGGTAAAGCGGTCCGAATCAATCGGCACCACCTCTTCAAACAATCACGTGATATGAGTGGATGATGAGGAGTGATTGGCTAATGAATTCTACAATCGGGAGAATGCTTCAGTGAAGAGGACACACTAGGTGAATATACCAATATACCAAATAAGGCCGGATGAGAGTGGACACACTAGGCGCATTCCGACGCCGATGGATTCGTCCGAATCATTCGGCTAGTGAGTTCACCGCTTTAAGACAACCTGTAGTTTTACAGAAACACTTGTATAATGTAATATGAAGACGCATTGTTATTGCCAGACGTTGACACCCTACCGTTCACTAAAACAACTGGTCCCATTTCTTGGATTTACAACCCGAGTGACAAAAATGCCTATGGACATATTTCATACTTGGTCGGGATTGTCCGTTGAAACAAAAGAGAGACTTCGATTCTTGATCGTGAAGTTAATTGCCGCTCTGATTATGTTTTGACTTTAAATACTGAAAAGGTGATTTACGAGGTTCACCATTCAGGACAGGCTTCGTTAAGGGCGTTCAACTCAATTCAATACCTGAATCAAAGCTGTGTATTTCCATTATATCTGGACAGATAAACAAAATTAAAACGTTTCCAAATTACAGTATAAAATGTGAAGTATTGAAATTAATATCAGACCCTATCACGCCCAATCAGCTTCATCAATTGAATAAATATTAATATCGTGATTAAATAAACATTTTATGGATCTATAAAGCAACAATGTATAGCTTCTAGGACAATAACAATGTTTGCTGAGTTTCTAATCTCGATGCATATAATATCTATAAACTCACACTGTTAACCCCAACCACATTGTAGATGATTAAATGGCGAATCTGCATAACCAATACGGTACATGAAGAGCGTGTTTTGTACCATTTGTTTATCTATTGTGATCATCAATCAATATATGTTTTGGCTAGAAATAGATTAATATTATAAAACTATTATATTAATGTCATGTTTTCCGGATTTATGAGAATATAAAACAGGATAACATTAACGTAAATGAATTGTATATTTTTTTTCATTGTTATAGTTTTCTTTCTTATTATTTTTGTTTTGTTTTTGTGTTTTTATTTTCTTTGTTCTTGAATTCAAAGTACAGGTATTAAACATTGTTAACCCTTTTGAGAATCAAGCAACCTTTAAAAAACCGTTTTATTAAAACCATTTCTATTCCCAGTTTGGAACAAATAAACAGTAGTTGTACAGAAAATTAACATATATATTCAATCAAATTATATTAGGCCACAACTTATATTAAATTCTTTTCCCAAAGCAATATGAACAAATTGATGATAATCTAAAACCAGAATAGGATGAGTTATGGCCGTAATAAGTCTATGGAATTGTCACTGTTTACAGTATGGCATTCAAATTTGAACTAGTACTTTATTTTTAATAAACTATAAACCGTCTAAGTGACGTCAGTAAGACACGTGCGTGGTTGTCAATCATTATGAATATCATACGCCACTTTTAAAAGCTGTCTGTCTACAGTAAGCTCCGCTTGAGAACAGGCACAAAGCTGGTTGACCAACTGTATTAACTGGTTTGACAAGACTTGGGCCACTGAGTAAGGCGCTGACTCTTTAACCAGAGGATTCCGGACGTTGGCCGATAAAGTTCTTCGGTGCCTTTCAGCGTGGTTTCCCCTTGTCTGTTGTGCAGGACCGAGGGTCGTGCACGGAAAAACTATGCCAATTGTAATTCGATAAGAAGTGGGCGAAAACGTTTATGTCCGGTCAAAATTTCCCTGGTATGCCCGTTTTTATCCCAGTTGGTGCAGAACCAAGCGATTATTAAAATAATTGTTTCTAATCCGTAAATGTATATTCAATTAGGGAACAGAAAATAGAACAACAGTATATGGCTACTGAACAGACAGTCCAGAAACTCCAAATTGGCAAAGTAGGAAAAAAAAGAAAAAGCTTTTAACTATGTGCACGATCAAAACACAATCAGCCATGTAGTAAGTGGTATTCAGTGCTAGCGTTTTGCCTTTCTGATATTTATGCATGAATTCAGATTCGATGACGAATTATTTTAACGGCAATTTTCAAGATCTTTCAAATTCAGTCGTTTCAGTATTTATTTGTAGAGTGACCTATTTCATTTAAGTGCACTTAATAAGAAATGTATGCCGTGAAGTTATTTATTGCCGATTTTTAGAGCTATTAGAACTAAACTTGTTTCTTTCGATCTGGTGTTTGTGATTATATTTCTAATAAATATATTTGTTCTAAGACATTTCAACCGTGTTTTTTTTACTCCACCTGGTCTGGTACCGTAAGTTATGTCAATTTTTACAATGTTTAATATTCAGTCTATCGGTATTTATTGTGTCAAGTCAACTATTTTATGTTAGTAGTGTCAAATAAAAAAATGTATGCCATTTTTATGTCGGCACTTAACGCATAGTATGAACGAAAATGTAAATTTTTTACGATTAGAAATTCAATTTCATATTTAATGTAAACAGGTAAAATGCACTCTCTTCTTACTACATATCTTAATATTTGCAATTGCCTTCTTTGGCTACCTTTTCACGTTGTGTATTTTCTTTTTACTATCTCCGCCGTTAAAACGGAACTCAGATGGTAATCTCTCTGGAACCCAGTGATATCTAAATCTGAAATGGCTGGTTTGGGCTTTTTAACAGATTTGCTTACGTTCTGACTTAAGATTCAGAATAATGAATTTGATTTGATGGTTACAGTGTATGATGCAATTAGTAAATTTCCAATCACGTGTCAAAAATGACATTCTGATTCCCACGGAACCAGCTATATTTACCAAATTATAACACTTTTTATGTGTAAATCCGTCACTCATTATTTGAGTGCATTTGGTGTGACTTCTATACAATGTGTGTATATGACCCGAATAATTAGTTAAAGATACAATATGGTCGCAAAGACCATAGTACTACACATAACCTACTCCTAGTGTGGATTTTTGCAAGTACTAACGCACGCGCTGCAGATCCTTAATAAGACCCTTGATAGGTTCGATCCTAGGTTTGTGCTTGACAAGTTGTGGGGTTGCCTGCTGAAGTTTTCGTGTTTTCTTTATGAAATCCGACCCCCACCCACCGTTAATGACCCCCCGCGCATAAGCTAATTGTTGAAATAAACAAATTAATCATGTGATTATAGAGTTCATTTTATCCAAAATTGTCTTACTACAAATGTTACCACTTTAAAGCAGAGTATATTTGGTTTAGGTTTTGGGAACTAAACAACTAGAATATATAAACACAAACAACATTCAGTTTCTTCAGTTACTAACGACAAACGTACTAAACACTTGACCAGTTATTTTTATATTTATTAATTTGTACATGATTATGTTAGATAAAGAGTTGACTGTCTTGTTAGAATAGTTAAAAAATAAATTATGAAAATTGAAGATATGGAAAAATTCATTCAAATTACTTTATTAGTGGTTGAGGTTTTGACAAAATGTAGCGTAGATTGTTTATCTTGGCAACGGTACTTGACAATCGAGACTATGTCTCGATTATATATTTTAGCGTTAAACTCTTATATGACTACGGTGTTCGTATCTACTGATATCGAAGTCACCCGATGGCCCAGGGAGTTTATTATGGGATTGAGATGTTAATGAAGTGGGGTTTAACGTCCTACTGTTCTGCACGACATGTTAATGAATGTTTAAATACTAATTTATATAACATTTTTAGCCAGAAAAAAAGACCCACAGTAGGGAGATATAGCTCTTACATAATGCATCGTATGCGTTTCCATTAATTATTAATGTTGTTTATTTTCATTATTACTATATTTTATTTTATATTAAGACCTTATTCTATATTATTGTCTAATAATTAATGTATTTTTATTATGATATTTGTAAATTTATATTTTGTGTTACTAACTATAAACGTATACGAAACCTTCTTGTATTTAGTTTCAGCTTCCGTATATTAGTACATGTATATAGATTTTCCCTATATTAAGATGTTGGTCCCCAAACACCCGATTTAGTGTCGAGTTTGGATATCAATGGGTTTTGGAGAAACAGTAGCACATGTTTCTGTATTAAAAGGCTAGTTTGTTCCGTTGGTTGACAACTTGGCATAACTAAGAGAGCGTTTACCATACGATAAAAGACCAATAATTTAGGGTTTAAATGTAGTGCGACTAGGTGTGTATAGCCCTCAAAGTTTTAATATTATGTAGCAGCAATATAAAAGTGCTTTTATATACAACAAGCAACCATATGTAAATTAGATAAAAGGGGGCTAGTGTGATCACATTTTCTGGCAGTAGTATTTAGTTACCTTTGGACTTTGTCTAGAAGTATTTAGCAATACAGGATTAATATTATATTAACATATTAACAAGACATCGGATGGTATCTAAAGATAAAAACTGACAGATTTACCAATATTTCTTGTATCAAAATAACAAAAGATTACGAAGGTTATTGATGTGTTCTTCAATCTGCATATTACTGTCAAAGATAGCACCAATGTTCCGGGTTTACAAAGAAGGGCATGTTTCTTGATTAGCAGTTAAATAGGTGTATTACCATTCACATTATTATGTAATCTATTTATAGATTATAAATGTTCAGTTTGATCGCGGAATCCGGACATTCATCATTTTGTTTCACTCATATATTACACGAGCTATACTTTAGATTTTAATTCCATTCTGGCCGATCTTAAAAGATCATTCAGAATGAAATAAATATCAATTTGCATGCTAGTATTGATTATGAATACCACATTTTCCACCAATACTTCCGCATGTTAAGGTATATAATGTAACGTTCTGGTTTCGATTGACATAAAAAAAATTCAATTTGACACATATTTATTTGGTTATAAAGTCAACGATTTTTTGGCTTGTGATATCCTTAAGTTGACTGTACTGTAAGAAGCGTATAGGGGTCAATAATCTGTTTAATAATCTGTTATAAAAATACATTTGCATGCTTAGTTCAAACATAAATAAAAAATATTACTTATTTTTATTTTGTATTTACAATTCACACAGCTTATTTCCATCTTTTGTTGAGATACAATGATACAATCTCGATCCCACTTTGAATGTTACGTGAAAATCCTTTCGTCGGTCACTTCACAAAGATCCAAGATGGCGGCTCAAACTCGCGAATCTTCAGAAATTTCACGTGTTTAGCCGAATCACTCACGTTGTGCGCTAAAAATAGTTGCCGGCAAATCATCAAATCGGTGTTTTCGAATGAACTCTTTTGACGCCAAGATGTCGAAAATGTTACGTGATGTATCCTTTCGTCGGTCACTTCACAAAGATCCAAGATGGCGGCTCAAACTCGCGAATCTTCAGAAATTTCACGTGTTTAGCCGAATCACTCACGTTGTGCGCTAAAAATAGTTGCCGGCAAATCATCAAATCGGTGTTTTCGAATGAACTCTTTTGACGCCAAGATGTCGAAAATGTTCCAAGGATCATTAATATGTAACTCATATGCCTAATTGTCGAGTAATCGGCAGCATTTTATTCTAACAAATCCTGCCAATCAGTTGCCACTGATCCGGTTTCATGCTAATTAATGGCCGATGAGTTTGACCAAAGATAAACGAAGGGTAAAGTTATCTCTGGGATCAAGATTGACAATGATTGGTTATAATTCAGCTGCAGGAGTTACTGGTTACTGGTTTTATTTTAAAGATATATTTCAGTTTGTTATGATAGTTATGACTTTTGTCGGGAAACTCTTAACGTAACTCCACAAAGGAGCTAAATTGCTATCATTTTGCACCTAGAAATTGACACAAATGAGTCGCAACGCATATAATCATGTAATGTGAATGTATATAAACTGATTTACATTAAATCGTTTCTGTTTTACCGTAATTTCTAACCAGTTATGTTCGGCGAAATACGCGAAATTGAATTGCAGCCTTTGGCCTCTGGTTAATCCAGTCTATACCTATAGTATAGTATTATCCTACATAGGATATGTTTAGCCCCGTTCATCGAGTCGTTTCATACAACTGGCGCTCGAAAGCATTCTGAAACACGATTCATGTGCCATTTTTAAAATTTTTCATTTCGTTTTAAATATTGGATATAATGAGTAATTGCTCCAGCAATTCGTCGTGGCATGCTCCTAATCAACCGTCCAATCACGATTTGGGGCAATCTGACCCACTCCCCTTGCAGTGCCACGGCCAATTCTTGCAGTGTTGTCCGTTGACGTTGACTTCGACGAACACGTCTCCCGATCAAATTAAACGTAACACACCAAAGCAAAGATGCGCTAAACAGTAAATCTTATGCAAGAACCGATAGGAAAGCAAACATGGATAGATAAAACAGCACGCGGCAGTTTTCATCAACCCTTCCTTGAAGTGTCAAATTTGACAATGAACCCCTCCCACGTGTATGGCGCTATTGCGTTTCGCATGTGCAGCTCAGTGGTTCTGTTGGGGCGATAAGTTCTTCATCTATGAACATACTCTCAAAGCATGTCAAGTGTTCATGACTATTTATCATATCACAACCCGCATAGGTATTTGCATTTCAATATCCCCTACTTTTTTGAAGAGTATATAAAAAAACCCAGTGATATTTTGGTAAAATCCTTATCATTGTCAAAATATCCATCAAATATTTTTTTGTTTATGACGATCACAAAGGAAACGCAACAAGGAAGTCCGATATTACTACATAATGCATATCAATAACATATCTGTCCTTGTTGGCCACTTTTTGTAATACTTTGGGCGCAATTGACAAAAAAACTCGCTTTCGTCGGTCGTTGTCGGTGATTAGTAGGACCGCAATTCAGTTAATATATTGTTCATAATACTCAAATAATAGTCGTAAAGGTTATTGGGCTGATGCTGAATTTCGACTTCCTACGCTGCATATTGACCTGTAAACATTTGCAAATGTCAGAAGAATCATCATTTGATATTGGCTTTGATTAGACCCCCCCCCCCCCCAACTCCCTACAAAAAAAATATGCCTTTGTCTATGGTTACTCGACTGACCCAATATTTTTTAGCCATAACTGAGACACTTGAAAATTTTGGCAACCTTTTCATCAGTCATAGGAAGGACATTAATGTATTTCTATGTGATTTTAACATCCACTACGATGATGCATCAAATGCAACAGCAATTAAATTCAGGAAACTTCTGCAGGTGTACAATCTTACCCAACACGTCGCTTCTCCAACACATAAATTAGGTCAGGTTTTAGACCTAGTAATTTCACCTAATACCTGTAACTTAATCAGTGATGTAAAAGTGCGTGATATACAAATATGTGACCACTTCCTTATCATCATGAGGTGGAATATGACGAAGCCCAGATATAACTGCATGCACCATGTGTGTCGTAACTTTAAGGTCATTGATAGATCTGTATGCATTGGTGATCTACGATCCTCAGAATTAGAGAAAGAACCCCCAGAGGGTGTTAAAGAACTATGTGATCTTTACAACAAGACAATGGTTGAGCTTCTAGATAAACATGCTCAAGCAGTCAAGAAAGAGATCATTATCAGACCAGGTTCAAAATGGTATAATTGGGACGTTAAGAAAGCTAAGTTACAACGCAGGATGGCAGAACGACAGTGGCGCAAATCCAACCTGGAGGTTCACCGCAGCATCTATAAATCAAATCGAAACAATGTCAGCAAAACCTTAAGGAATGCTAAAGCCCGCTATTGTATGGACAAAATTTCTGCCATTGGCAATGACTCGAAGAAATTTCATGGATTTATGCAATCTATACTAGGTGTTCAGTCAAACTTAAAACTTCCTGATTCAACTAGTGATTTTGAGTTAGCAAATAACTTTTCTAATTTCTTCATCTCTAAGATCGAAAAAATAAGATGTCAGTTGGACAATCTTTCTGCTCAAACTCAGTCTTTATTTACAGACAAGTCAGGACGGGAGCCATTGACTGAATTTCATCCATTCGCTGAGGAAGAAATCCGAAAGTTAGTCTTGTCGTCAAAGAAAACAACGTGTCCACTGGATCCCATTCCGTCTACCATTGTTTGTGACTTCTTGGATACGCCTCTGTCTGTCATAACCTCCATAGTAAATTATAGCTTGCAAAGCGGAATTTTTCCTGAAATCTTCAAGCAGGCCATTGTGCGTCACTTAATCGAAATGTATTTAAAAACTTTCACCCCGTTTCAAATCTCTCGTTTCTCTCAAAACTTTTAGAGAAAGTTGTCAACACCCGATTGCATACATACATATCAAATAACAATCTTTGGGATAAATTTCAATCAGCTTATCGTTCCGGACATAGTACAGAAACTACCGTGCTCAGGGTTGTAAACGATCTGAGACGTTCAGTTGACAGTGGTGGTATATCAGTACTCAGTCTATTGGACCTTTTGACACCGTCGATCACCAGATCCTTGCTGATCGGCTCCAATATGAATTCAGTATCCATGGAACAGCTCATAACTGATTGATGTCATACTTACAAGATCGTCAACAGACAGTATTAATAAATAATGTTCAATCGATGCCTGCGGTGGTGTGCCTCAAGGATCAGTAGTCGGTCCAATACTGTTTCTGCTATACTGTCATAATTTAGCTGGTATTATCGACAAACATAACATTGATCACTATTCCTAGGCTGACGATACTCAGCTTATCTCATCTTTCAAGCCCGAGGAGGAAACCGAGGCTCTGAGTTGTGTGACTGATTGTTCCCAGGATATTAAGAATTGGATGACCTCAAATAAACTCAAATTGAATGATGACAAAACTGAGGCTATGTTATTTGGAACAAATAGACGCCTTCAGAACATATCTCTACCAAATGTTAAAATTGGAGACTCGGTTATTCAGTTAGCTAGTGCTGTGAAGGATCTTGGTGTTTGTCTTTTGAAACACAAGTTGATAAGCTGCGTCAGTCCTGTTACTTACATTTGCGACGCATCAGTGATATTCGACATCTCATCACGATTGATGCCGCCAAATCTCTAGTATAGTCACTAGTTCTGTCCAAAATAGACTATTGTAACAGATTGTTGTCTGGGACCAATCAATCAAATCTGTACAAACTACAGAAAATACAGAATACAGCAGCCAGAATCATATCACGAACCAAAACATCATCTCACGTAACACCTATTCTAAAATCCTTACATTGGCTCCCAATTCCAGCTCGCGTCAACTTTAAGGTTCTGTGCCTCACATACGAGTGTCTACGAAATATTGCACCCAGCTATTTATCAGAACTACTAACAGTATATCAACCAAATCGGTCCTTGAGATCTTATTACCAGAACACTCTTGTCGTTCCACACTCAAAACTGAAACATTTTGGTGACAGAAGTTTTAGTGTAGTTGCTCCTAAATTGTGGAATGGTTTACCACTGAAAATCCAAAACAGTGAAACTCTGACTACTTTCAAATCACAGCTGAAGACTCACTTATTTCGAGAATGCTACGAGAATTAAACTTTCTATTTACTGTGTATATAACTATTGTCTCATTGCGCTTTGAGCATGCTTTTGGGTGGATTTGGCGTTCTACAAATGTACATTATTATTAAATCGACGAACCTAAAGTCCTTTTTTCTCATTTTCCAGGTCCTATAAATCGGTCTTGGCGGGGTTTTTCTGCTGACACTGAAATTTTGGTATTTACAACAGTCTGAATCGGGTCGAATGGGCATTTATTTTACAGTTTACTCAGTAATTAAACACCAAAAAGGCTTAGTATCGATGTAGGTTATTAAAAGATTAATTTATTAGTTCAGTTAGTTCTATCCAATCTTACCCAGCAAACTCCACTAAAACAAAAAGATTTTCCAACCGACCCTACATGTTTGTGTCCAAATAACAGTAAATACAGGTGTTTTATTTTGACCATACGTCGTCGGGGTGAAATTATGCACTCAAACGTGTGAATATGGTGACTGCGGGTTGTTATTGTTCGTAGGGTTTAACGTCCGCTTCCAACAAAGTTGATATCGCAGACAAGTTTTTTTTTTAATTTTAG